AAGTCTGGTCTCAGCCTATTGTTTACCGTTGCTCACAATATTTTGTTCTGTTGCATCGGTGTCACAAATGTAGTTTAAAGTTTAGTATGTTAATGCACAATGTTAAACCAGAACAGAAAACTTCTTGTTTCACAATCCAAAATTTAGTAGAAAAAAAAATTAAATCACAAACAAAAGAATTAACAGAAGTATAAACAACTGTGTCAAAGAAACGAAACAGCAGTCAGTACATACTGAAGTTGAATACAAGGCTAGAATCTAGGAGGCACAGGAAAGGTTTGATCATTTTAACAAACTTGCTTATATGTTTTGCAAATGTTAGGACAAATATTCTATAAAGATCAGAAAGAAAATATTTTACAGTTGTGCTACTCCCTTCCTGCATGCTTTTTAAAATGTCTGCACCACAGTTTCTTTCTGCCACCATTTAAAATTCTTTAGTACAATTAAATTTGGGCTGCGCACAGCAACATTTTTGTTTGAAATATTCTACCTTAAAAATTTTCCTTAAAAGTAGAAAATTCAAGCTGCTTTTGACTGAGTTTCAGCTACACAAAATCTTGATGGGGCAGGGGTTGGGGGAACAATGGCAAATGTACCTTCTGCCCCTTAGAGGAGAAGGAGTATTTCTGTACATTCCAGTATTTCTATTTTTAACAACTCCCATGGGACTCCCATGCACTCTTAATTTAACTTCAGAATTGCAGGGTCAGGGAGAACCTGCTCCGTGGGAGAAAAGGAGGCCATAAAACAGTCCCAGCATTGTTCCTACCCCACCTTTCTGTACACAATAGTGAATATTATTCACTAATGTACTTCTTAGCTATGGATGCAAGAAGAAAATGCCTCCACAAAGAATTTATAATGTGTTTTGCTTGAATGTCAGCCCTAAATCTGTACAAAGAGCAAGTGTTGTCTCTGCATTCCAGTGCTTGCTGGTGTGGGTAGCTGAGATATACACTCCCACTGGGGCATGGGCTGGCTGAAAAAGGAAGGTTGCAAGAAAGGCAGTTGCAGAGTTGCTTTGAAATGCTTCGAAATTAATCAAAACCAAGTGTAAGCAAATAAACAGTGCAGCTCTAGGAACTTTTCCATTTCAAGCCTTTGAAATTCATCCTTTAAGGTGCTTTTTGTGGTATCTTATTTACCAAAGACCTGTTTGCTTTTAGTGGAGTCTGGAAAACTGCCAAGGGACTTCATTCTATTTCAGCTCATCCGTGAACACCTTGACCATCTATCAGTACTCTGACGCGCTACAAAATTCGGCAAATTTAGACAACAACTATTTAGGTTTTAAGCACAAGTAAGACTATCAGCCATCTAGATTTCCTTTGTATAGACATGTATAAATAAATGACACCACAAGCCTTCCTCGATACAAGAAACCAAAAGGCATTGATTCAAAGGCTAAATAAATAATAGCTGAAACAACTGTCTGTGCCACTTGCTTGGTACTTTCCACACTGAAGCCCTCCCATGAAAGAGCTTCCTAGGGCATGAATCAACATTACCACTGTATGGAAGAGTGCTAGACATGCTTTGGCACTGGAAGTCCTAATGTGGCTGACTATACAAGAAACCAAAAGGCATTGATTCAAAGGCTAAATAAATAATAGCTGAAACAATTGTCTGTGCCACTTGCTTGGTACTTTCCACACTGAAGCCCTCCCATGAAAGAGCTTCCTAGGGCATGAATCAACATTACCACTGTATGGAAGAGTGCTAGACATGCTTTGGCACTGGAAGTCCTTATGTGGCTGGCTTTGCCAAGATAATAAAACTTCTCTGCGCTTCCAGCTCAGATCTGCAAGTCAGGACTCTGTAATACTATGTGTAGTTGTTCTTAAGGAAAAAAAACAAACCCACAACTTCTGCTAGATAAAAAAGCTAGAATTGTCCATACTTCTGTACTGTTTTGCAGACATTTAAGTGCTTCAAAATAGCAGTTTACTGAACAGCAACAAAGTTAAAAGAGATGATGTCCTGTCCTCTCATACAAAATTACATAGGTTTCTGTAGAGAATCATCACAATTGTGTTCACAATAAAGGATAAAACACAGAATTTTTACAACTTGCAGCCATTTTTTAGTCATTACTCCTAAAAAGTGAGTCGGTTGGTTTGATTTATTGCCAGAATGTACATACCTCTGTATATTCTGTATGCAGAATAGAACTTTTTGGTATTGTTTCCTTGGTGTACAAAGATCTTTTCATATACTACATTTCACTGAGTAACACAGTACATGAACAAAACAGCAAGAGTTGAGTTAGCCAACCAAGTTCAAGAAAACAGCAGTGCTGGGAAACCATCTCTGATATCTTCAGTAACGGTAGAAAAGAGGCTTTCTTCATGCTCACAGCAACTGCTTGTTGCATGTATGAACATTACATACCTACAGAAACAACTACACGTGGTTGCTAAATCTTTGTCAGGAGCATTACAGGCCCCAGTTTGTAAATGTGAGAAATAAAAAGACCAAACCACACAGCTTGCTTCTTACTAGCTACCAGGGGTGAGAAGCTTCTGGTTTTAAGTTCCTAGAGTATTTTTCATCCAGTGGTCTCTACATAACAGCAGCTCTTCAGGGAAGGTCTGTTATACATTGTGCTTCCGGGTGTGGAGCTGTGAGGTACACTGGCAGCCTGCAGCTGTCATACCATCACAAATCAGTTTTACACCACAGGGGAGTATGTATCTTGTCCCAGTGCAACACTCTGAGACAGCACATATCACAGGTTACTGAATACACCTCAAAGGCTGTCAAAGATTATTCAAAAATTTGGGCCCAGCCAGCAACTATGAGCATTGCTACTTTGCAACACACAACTATGCAACGGCATCAATAAATTCAGCTAAAAGAAAGGGTTTACAACTGTACAGCAGTTCCTTTCAGGTGCTTATGTAGTGTGTGGACACACGAACACAAGACTCCACTTATAATTTATATGGCAAAGGGTACAGTGAAAATATCTTAAACTTGGCCACTTGAATAGTAGTGAACTAATATGCCAGGTGCATAACTTATCAGTGGAGGCAGGTTCATCCCAGAAGAGGAAAGAATTCAAGGAATAATAGCCTTTCATCAATACCTTGTTTTTCAATTCATAATGAAGAAATCACTGGTTACACATTTTCTAATATGAAATGCTTGCAATATAAAACTTAACTTCTTGCCAGAATAAAGGAGGTGGACTATTTTGTACACCTGGGATTCAGGATAATATCTGTCAAGCCATCTCCTCAGCAGTGCTATCAAATGGCCTTAAAACATGCTCTTGCACAGCAGGCTGAGAATTTGGCCACAATTCTTTTTCTAACATCTAATCCCAAACTTGTCACTCAGTGCCAAGCTGTGTAGAGATTGTCTTGCATTTAGTGCTCTCATCCAGCTCCCTTTTGCAAATATTTAAGGGCAACACACAAAAGCAGACTGAAATTTCTCTAAATGGCACAGCATACAAATGAATACAATGCACCACATGAAATGCTCACAAAAATTCTCTCAATGTTTGTAGGGCCACCTGGATTTCTAATACTCCTTGTTAGTACCCAGAATAGCTCCTCTTGTTTCCCAGATCTATACTTTTTTTTGCTGTTGTTGTTTTCAGTTTGAAGCCAAGCATTATATTACAAGTACCATCTTGCTGGCTAAGTCAACTCTTGCATTATAGCAGTTAGACCTTTCTTTTAGACCCACCCTTCCTGTTTAATTGTACTGTATTTTGCTGTAGCCTTGCAGTTCTCTATTCCTCAGAGCTCACCTTGCCCCGCCGGGGAACGTGTCTTTCACCTCCAAAGAATCTGCCCAGCGAGTCAAGTATGCCCGAGTCTCTGTGCCTTGGAGATCCATGTCTAGCATGGTCTATAGTGCTCGCAGATGCCATTTTTGATCCGTGCCGGAAAGAGGAGCGTTTTTGTGAAGCCATCAAATCCGAATTCTCTGAAGCTGCTGCACTGTCCTCTTGGATGGTCTGTAGCTCGTCTGACTCTGAGGGCCGATCTTTGAAGGTGTTGTCTTCTCTTCCTGGGGCATCTCGGGAAAAGAGGCGGATCAAGTGGGGGCGACCAGTCCTGTCAGCTGGGTTGGCCTCGGGCCAGGCATTCTTCGGGTCTGCTGTGCCTTTGGAGTCTGTCACCGCTGGGCTCTTGGTGGAGGTCCCATTGTTCTGATTCACATCTGCCTCTCCTGCAAACAACAAGGATGAGATATGAATACAGGCCTGTGAAAAACAGCCCTGGAACAATGCTGCTTTCTTTCCCTTGCCTTGAGATGCTCATTTCATACAAAACCAGTAATATGTGCAGTTGTAATGAAACTATGTTCTCTACCAGCCTGTAAGAACATTAAGCTATCTTGGAACTGAAACTGGGATGATGTTCTCACACAAAATTTGCAGTAGTTCCAGGTCGCTTTTTAAAAATTTAACACATTTATAAATAGATGAATAGATTGCTTGAAGCACAACTGAAACTAACTTTATTTACGCTGATGGCTTGCTGATGAGGAGGCTTTCAGTGAACAATCAGAATTCCCATACTTTCCCTTGAGGACTGCAACTCTAAACTCAAAACAGGGAGAAAAAATAAATAATAAAAGCAACACTGCAGGGCTGTGCCTTCACAAGTGCACATTCCCTCTCCACAATGCCAGAGCTTTTGTACGCAAAGGTTTTGGCCCCATTTGGAATCCCTCACTGTAACTTCAATATGGATCAAATAAGCATAATGAGGGGAGGTCGTTTTTTCCCACTATTTCAATTGCTCTCACTTAAAAAAGACAGAGAACACTAAGCTGCTATTTCTGCCTGGCATCCCATGACAGTTTTTCTCCATGTATGACGACCCTGACTCTTGGTGCACAGTGTCCTAGCACTGATGCTGAAGGCCTAGAGCAAAAGTGCCCAATTTGCATTTAGTGCTTGTGAGAAGTGACAAAAACAATTATCAGAAACTGACAAGCTTTTAGCCAAGAAAGGTGCCAAGACAGATGCCTGTGGTGTAAGTGAAATGCCTGCTGCCTTCTCCGCAGTTGTGTTTTGAAGCACGCAGTAAAATATCTGAAAAGCAGCAGCTGCAGCACACTTAGCCCTTAACCTGTAGTAGCTCCTTCTATCAGTGACAAAAAGACTTACTGAGTCTTTCAAAGTCTATACCATGACTCCTACTGTTCTAAAGGAAACTGCACCCACTGAGAAATATGTCTTATCCCCAAGGAACACCAAAAGAACATTAGCAGGTCGCTGTTTGAGAAGCAACCTTCACTTCAGACACCTCCCACACACTCACTCTGTGTCAGAGACATCCTTTGGAGTTAACAGAGCACAGAATTTCATAAATAAGTTATGGTTAGTCATTTGTTGTTACCTTTAGGGTCTCCTAAATTACCTCATTACATCCCCATTTGATTTGGTCCTTGTTGCAATGGGAGGGGTAGGATCTGGCAAACCCTGTTATGTTTTCAAAGTGCTCTGGGTTCAAGTACTTTGCTGATTCACCAGGGCAATTTTAGATTTGACACAGTCATTTCATATGGTTTTGCCCGCCCACAAGGCACTAAAGAAACCTCTTCCCAGGCTGAGAATAATTCTGAGATAATTTTATGGATAACAACACAAGGCAGTAATGATGACTTCTGAAAAGATTACCCCTATGTAGGTTACAATTAGTTGTAATCAGCCTGCAACAGTTTTTCATAAAAAAACATAACAAGCAGTTTTGCTATGCAACTTTTCTTTTTCTTCTCTGAAAACTACCTAGAAAATGTTGAGGAACTTTAAGTAAAATTTATTTGGTTAAAACCTCTAAAAGGATCTCAGGGATACAATTATTTAACCAGCACTGTCACTGAAGACCTCATTAGTGGGGAAAATACTTGCTGGCAACATTTGGATTTGGGTTTTTGTGAAAAGATACTCTCAAAATACTCAAATGATTTTCTTAACAGAACAAACCAAAAGTAACTACCTTGGATATATGACACATTCTAAAACTGCAAAACACTTTAAAAAGCAACTCTAAGTCTAGATTCTATACCATAATACAAATCCATTCAAGGACAGAAAAAGAAAAGCAAACAAAAGAGTTATTGTATTTAATTAAATGCATTAACAAAACACCAGAGCATCTGCATACTAATATTTTTTACAACAGTTGTTCTTTGTGTCACTGAATACGGGTATTGGTAAGCAACAAAGAAGGGTATTTGTGCCACAAAAGTAGCTTCTCCCAATGCATACGCAGTGAGCTATAAAGTATAAATCTTTCTGTATGCTTTATTTCAGTAATGAAAGCACACATTTAACTTTTCTCTAGATTTTCTGCATGCTCAAGTATTCTCTGATATATAAAAATATATAAGAGAGATATTGTTAATATTTTTGATAACTAATCAAAGTCTTCCAGTGCATTTGGAGGGACAGATTACTCTAATAATGTCTTAAGGTTATCCAGAATTAATGGAGCATGTAAATATATGCCTGTTAGTTCATTTCAAAACAAATACTTAGACTTCTATTAAAACCTGTTCTAAATGCTGTGTATATGACAGTGATAATATTTTTTTAAGTTCTTTTTCCACAATATGAAGCTCTTTGTTAAAACAGAGTACCCTCCCTGTACCCTATATCTTGTACAAGAGAAAGTTGCCCAGGGAGGAAGAGGTCTTAGGTACTTGTTTTGTTAATCCTTCAAAATGGAGTACAGCAGAATGCATTGCCATAGGCATTAACCAGAAGGCTATCAAAGTGTCTTCTATTTCTATTCAAGTGAATATAGTCATTGAAAGTTGCATGAATGAGAGCATGAGAAAAGCACATCCTCACATTAGCCCAAAAGCAGCAGGAGGGAGTCAGACTCTGGTCACGCCTGGAGTGCCACATCTCTTCTCAAAGACCACTCCTGTAGGCAAAGCCACCTTTCCACATCCCCTCGCTCCATGCTGCTCTGGAGCCTGCTGCTGGCACAGTTTTCCCTGTGCATGTTGGTCAAAGTGAACAAAGTCGTTTGTTCCCTGTATACACAGTGATTCCCAAAATGAATATAGAAGAATATAGATGGACAAAAATTCAGAACAGTCTCTTAATGAAACAAATGATGAATTCCAAAGGTGCTTTCAAGTAAACATTATTAAATCCAAACCTCCATTGTCTTTAGTAGGAGTTAGGTCCCATATAAGTATGTAAGTATTTTTTTAAAACTACTGTGCCTTAATGCTCAATTGGACATTAATAGTTTATCCCATTTCTCGAGAATCAAAACAACTCTTTTACATAAGCTTCTAATTGGCTTGGACCTCCCAGCCCCATGGTTCAAACAACGACTCTCAAGACCATGGAAACCTGTTGTGTGCAAAGTACAATTCCCAACAGAGAGACCTTGGATACAAGTATCCTTCTCAAGGATCACTTGATAGAACTGCTCTATGATAGTCCTACAGAAGTCTGTAGCCTTCTTCCTTACAGAGGACAACCTGGAAAGAAGCTCTAAAACTTAAGAGTTTTAAAAAAGATTACAAGTTTTTCATCTCCTCCCACTCCTTTCCAGTCTTGCTTTCTTGCAGATACTTGTAATTCCTCTCACATTCCTATTGCTGCTCCCGCTACAAATGCTGTAAAATAAACGAGGAAAATGAAGCTAATAAAAGCTAAAGTACATTTCCCCTACTTTGGGTTCTCAAGAGAGGCTTAGATCAACAGCAAATACTGACTGTAATAATACACAACAACAGTGTAAAGATTTGTATGCAATGTTAAGAAATAAGTATTACTTACTCATTACAAATGGCAGAAAGTACATTAATCAACTTTGTAACACCGCATATTTAATGTACTTTATCATAACTACAGACTGCTGTGACTGAATACTAATTTCCTTTTTCTTGGCCTTTTTTCTCAGGGTATGAAGATGAAAATTATCTCACTGAACTTTAAGGATCTTTGAAATCAACTTTTCATTTTAGCTTAAGTCATGTATATTTATAAAGCAGTGCTTCTCAGTATACAAAATACGTGTACTTGTCTTTTCCTACTTTTTAGGTCCTCTCTCTTCTATAAGAAAACTGGATAGTTAAATATAATGCAGCGTAGTTCTCAGTTCTGAGTCAACTCTATTTCAGTATGTTTACTGAAATGCTGGCAATAAAGTATTAAGTAAAATATCTGAAATTTTGTACTTCTTTACCTGTATTTAGTCATTTGAACAACAAAGGGTTATACCTAGAAATTAATCAACTTCACAATAGCTAAGATTTCAAGATCTTCAGCAAGATGTAACAGTAAGGCAGATGTATTAGTAATAATTTGCCTTACATTATTTAAGAGGCTGAAACCACTACTTTGGAACACGTGGCTTCTAGTCACATTTGTGGTAATATCAGGCATTTGAAAGAATGAAACGCCAGAAAAAGCACATCCGTCATCACTACATATACTCTGCAATTGAGGATGTCTGGGTTCCAGCTCTGTCTTGAGATAACTGTTTCCCAATGTTTTCCCTTCCTCTTCATGAAGTTCTCTAGAAACAAATGACCTTAAGGAACAGTTTTGCTGGAAGTATAGCTAGCAAAACAACAGAGCCCTAATTCACTCTGTCTTTGGATACTGTCATTATGGTTTTCTGCAATATCACACACCTCGGTTCAAACTTTAGCGTTCTTAAGTAGATGGGGCAATGGAATGTGTAAATGAGGAGTCTGAACATGCAGCAGTAATTACACACTGTGACCTATTACAAGAGCCGAGATTAAATAAAAATCTGACCAACTTAACACTTAATGTTCTTAGAAAAATAATCCAACAATTTAGTGCTCAGCAGTATCAGGTGTCAAAGGCAAGAGTGGCAAATCCATTGATTCTAAAGACAAGCACAGGTCAGAAACAGAAAGGCCAGTCCTGGCTGTACTGAGGAGCTCTGCATGGCTTAGCATGTAGTGGGAGCACCCACTGATCAGACTAAAAGGAGAACAGAGGATGAGAAAATGAATGCAAACCAGTAGACTGGGGCAGAGGAAGGTTCAGGAAACGAGGCTACAGATCTCCTGGTCATTTGTTCTATGGCTTTTTAATCTGATCAAAACTTTTGAGGCAATTTCACTCTCTCCGTTGGGTACCAGTGAGAGGTACAATCTGGCTTCTGGTTTGGCCTTTGTGCAGCCTGCAGTAGAATGGAGTGTCTACAGCCACTAGGCTT